ACAGCCCCAAGAGCTGGATGTTTTCTTCTCCCCTCCAGAGACAGTGTCTTGGGCTGAGCGGGTTGCCCTTACTCTTGGCTGGTATTGGAACTGAGAGTGAGTAATCTCTCTTGTAAAAGTAGAACATAAAAACTCTGTAAGGCTTGAGTAGATGAGAGTTTTAGGAGGTGAGACTGTGCATGCAGTTATCAACTCTGTCTCTTGGATTTTCTCTTTCCTGTCAATTCTCTCACTTTGATTCTGGGTGTTAATCACCATCTTTAATCCCAGGGGCACATTGTGCCTTCTAAAACAATTGACCAGATAAAGCCAAATGTCAGATTCCTTTGATTACTGCTCTCAGCACAGATGAGATAGATGGGAACAGTCCAAGGATATCTTAATGAAATTAAGAGAAAGTTAAAAAAAGAAGGAACAGAAATAGAAGCATTGGGCTGATGGAGAATAGTTTTCTATACCTTCTCTGTTCACAGCACACACTCACACTGGGTGACTTCATCCTTTCCCAGACTTCTTGGTCTGGCTCTCACTCTCTCCTGAGATCCAGACCCATATTTCCAATTTCTTAAGAGCCACCATCCCTTGAATCTTTCAAATTCAACAGGTCTTAAGAGAAGCTGGATTATATGAAGAAGAATGTGGCATCAGGATTTGGGGGAAGACTCATTAACAACCTGTGATGTGCAGATGATACAACCTTGGTTGCTGAAACCAAAAAGGACTTGAAATACTTACTGATGAAGGTCAAAGACTACAACCTTCAGTATGAATTGCACTTCAGTGTGAAGAAAACAAAAATCCTCACCACTGGACCAATAAATAACATCATAATAAATGGAGAAAAGATTGAAATTGTCAGACTTCACTTTTTTTGGATTCACTATCAACATTCATGGAAACAGCAGTCAAGAAACCAAATAAAATATTGCATTAGGCAAATCTGTTGTATAAGACCTCTTTAAAGCATTCAAGAGCAAAAATATCAGTTTGAAGACTAAGGTGGGTTAACCACTGTACTTAAGGTTTGAACCTAAAGATCGGCTTCTCAGAAATCCTATACAAGGTCATTATAGGTCAGAACCAACACTAACAATCCAAGCTGTGATATTTTCAGTAGCCTCATATGCATGTGAAAGTTGGACAATGAATAAGGAAGGCCATAGAAGAATTGATGCATTTTAGTTAGGGTATTAGAAAAGAATATTAAAAATACATGGACTGCTAGAAGAACAAGCAAATCTGTGCTGTAAGAAGTACAGCTAGATATTCCTTAGAAGCCAGGATGGCCAGATTTATCTTTCATACTTTGGACATATTGTCAGGTGGGACCAGACCCTGGAGAAGGATTTCATGCTTGGTAAAGTGGAGGGTTGGCAAAAAAGAGGAAGACTCCCAATGAGACGGATTGGCACAGTGGCAACAGCACTTAACGATTCTGAGGATGGCACAGAACTGGGCAGTGTTTTGTGCTGGTGTGCATAAGGAACCAACTCTATAGCACCTAACAACACCATCATCCTCACAGTGGCTACTATGTGTGAGCCCATTGTTGCTGCCACTGTGTCAATCAATCTCATTGGGGGTCATCATCTTTTTCACTGACCCTGTATTTTACCAAACCTGATATCCTTTTTCAGGGACTAACACCTCCAGGTAACATGCCCACAGTAGGTGAGATGAAGTTTCACCATCCTCGCTTTTAAGGAACGTTCTGGCTGCACTTCTTTCAAGACAGATTTGTTTGTCCATTGTTACTTTCAACATTCTTCACCAACACCGTAATTCAAATATACCAATTCTCTTATCTTCCTTATTAACTGCCCAGCTTTCACATGCATATGAGCTGATTGAAAATACCATGGCTTGGATCCAGGTGCATCCTAGTCCTCAGAGTGACCTTTTTACTGTTTAACAAGAGATCTTAGGCAGTACATTTTCCCAATGTAATAATACATCATTTGGTTTCTTGACTGCTGTTTCAGTGAACATTGATTGTGGATACAAGTACAGTGATATCCTTGATTGCTTCGTTTTTTTTCAAACCGTGTAATGTGATGCCGTTTGTCTGCTTTACATTGTGTTGTAATCCATATTGAAGACTGAATTTTTTTAGTAAGGTTCTCAGGTACCTCTTAAACAAACAAGGTTGTGTCTTCTGCACATTGTAAGTTGTGGATGAGCCTTCCTCCAATTCTGATGCTGCATTCTTTATATAATTCAGTTCCTGGATTATTTCCTCAGCATACAGACTGAATGAAAGAATACAACCCTAACACATACCTTTCCTGAGTTTAAACCACAGTTTCCTCTTGTTCTGTTTGAATAATTGCCTCGTGTCCTATAAACAGGTTTCACATGAGTGCAATGAAGTGTTCTGAGATTCTGTTCTTTGCAGTATTTTCCCTAGCTTTTTATGATTTACACAGCTTAATGCCTTCGCATAGTGAATAAAACGCACTAAACATCTTTCTGGTACTCTCTGCTTTTAGCCAAGATATATCTGATATTAGCAATGATATAACCCTCTACTGAATCCCATTTGAATCTCTGGCAGCTCCCTGCCAATATGCTGCTGCAAATGTTTTTGAATGATCTTCAACAAAATTGTACTTGTGTGTGATATTAATGACATAGTTTGATCATTTTCACTGTCTGTTGGATCACCTTTCTTTGAAATGGGCACAAATATATGGATCTTTTCTAGTCAGTTGACCAAGTCTTCCAAATATTTTGGCATAGAATGGTGAATGCTTCTAGTGCTGCATCAGTTTGTTGAAACGTTTCAATTGGTATTCTGTAACATTTTGGAGTCTTGTTTTTCCGCTAATGCCTTCAGTGCATCTTAGACTTCTTCCTTCTAGACCATAGGTTCTTGATTATGTGTTACTTCCTAAAATGGCTGAACATAGCCAGTTCTTTTTGGTACAGTGTATTCCTTCCATCTTTTTTTTTTTAAACTTTTTATTGTGAATTGAGTAAAAGTTTACAGAACAGATCATCAGTCCCACATTCAACAAATTATACACTTTGTCATTACAATAACTTCAGTCCACTCCATGTACCATCCGTCAACAGTATTTACCTCTGCTCACTTTCATTTTTATATTTTCCCCTCTCCCACCCACCTGCCCTATAACTATCATAGAATGTTTCATTTAGCTCCTTCCACCTTCTTTTAAAGGAGCTCTGGTAGCATAGTGGTTATGAATCGGGCTGACAACCTTAAGGTCAGCAGTTCGAAACTACCAGCTATTCCGCGGTAAAGATGTACAGCCTCGGAAACCCTGTACAGGGTCGCTATGAGTTGGAACCGACTCCACGGCACACAACCACCATGACCACCACCTTCTTTTAATGCTCCCTGCCTGCATCCTTCAGTATTTTATCCATTGTTGTTTTTAAGTGCCTGTGAGTTGATTCTGATTCAGACAGATGAGGAGCAGCTGGTATCTTTGAACTACTGACCTTGCAGTTATCAGTCCAATGTTTATCCTACAGTGCCATACCATGACTTTTTTTTTTTTAATTTTTATTGTGAATTGAGTGAAAGTAGCATGGATAGAAGAACCTAAAAATTCTTAAAAAGGGAAAAATGTCAGTGTAGAAACCTCAGATGAAGTGTGGGGTTCAGATCACTTTCAATTTTTAGGATTTTATTTTATTTATTAGTATTGCTAATTTAAAACTATGTAAAGGACATGTAAAAAAGTCTGTTTTCCAGACCTGTCTCCTACAAACTGTTTCTTCCCTCATATATATATATATTTTTATTAGTTCCAGTGTTTCTTTTTCTAAATATTAGCAAATACTATTTATATTTCTCCCCATAGCCTTTCCTTTCTATTCCTCTTTGTGTGTGTGTGTGCTGCTTAATACCCGTTTAAGTAAATGTCACAGTTTAAGACTGATATTTTTATGGTTGTTGTTGTTATGTGCCATGGAGTCGGTTCCGACTCAAAACGACCCTGTATACACAGGGTTTCCGAGGCTGTAAATCTTTATGGGAGCAGAAAGCCTCATCTTTCTCCCGCGGAACAGCTGGTAGTTTCGAACTGCTTGACACTGAGGTTGGCAACCCGATTTGTAACCACTACGTTACCAGAGCTCCTTATTTTTATGGTAGTGATGGCTAATAGTCTGAATTCCCAAAGTTTCTAGATAAGGACGCTTTTTTTTTTTTTTTTTGTAAACGGCTTTTAAATGAGTATTATTTTTCTTGAAGCCAATTGCTAGAGAAACAACCTCCCTCCCTCTCCCCGCCCCTCCCCCCCCTGCAATATCTTTCCAGGCTTTTATACCCTAAGCTGCTAGGAAAGAGTTTAAAGCAATTTGGGACGAAGCTTGTGTTTCATCATCTGCCAATAAATACATTGTGTGGCCAGATTTGCCCTGTAGCTGGCTGGGCAACCCTTCTGAGGTTGCTTCTGGTGGGGCGGTGGCCAGTTGCATCTCGGTTTTCTGTACGTTTCACCTTAAGACTTACACCTATTGGGCCCCCCTCCAACCCCTCTCAGATCTTGGGAGAAGCACAGAAATTGCTGCTGCTGCTGCTTCTAGATCATCAGCGCGGTTGCTCTCTGGCTACGCAGCTCCAGGAGCAGGTGAATTGAGCGGGCCTGGGCGCACCCTGGAGCTAGGGCCGCCCCGCCTGCGCACTGTGATGCCGGGATTGGGGGCGGGAGCGCCGCCTCCGTCTCCCGCGTTCGTTCGCTCGCTCGCTCGCTGGCTCTCTCGCTCCCACCCTCCCCGCCCTAAGCTCTCCTGCCTCGGCTGTGCAGTCTCCGCACTGCAGATGCCTGCCGGCCTCCCTGTGCTCTGTGGCTACCGCGGCGTCCCGCAGGTCCTCTCAAACCCCAAGCGCTTACTGCACGCTTTCACTCCACCCGAGGGACCCCTGCCTGTGCCGACACATAGACTCCCGGGGTGATAAGCCCGGCACCCCGCAGGGTGGCAGGAGTCGAGGCGGACAGTGGCCGCATCGGAGCCCAGGGTGCTCTCGCATGCGGCAGGACAAGCTGACCGGCTCCCTGAGGCGTGGGGGGAGATGCCTGAAACGGCAGGGCGGCGGTGGAGGTGGCGTGGGTACCATCCTGAGCAATGTGCTCAAGAAGCGCAGCTGCATTTCCCGGACCGCGCCCCGACTGCTCTGCACCCTGGAGCCAGGTGAGGACCCCAGTGCTACCAACCGAGCAGTTGAAAGTACTGTGGCGGCCCCGCAGCTGGTGTTGCTCTGGGCTCTGTTTATGTTCGGCACCGCTTCGACTTGGGAGCACTTGAGGGCGGTTCCATACCCGACACCGCGGATTGGAGCCAAGGAGGCTGGATCTGGCTGGGTGGCAGATTCCTCCGGCTGCTTGATGGGTGCCCACCTTGTGCTTCGGTTCGTCCTGCTTGTGCCATGGGCTGCGGGTGAGCCAAGCTCTCCCTCTTACAAGCTGTGGGGAAGTGCTGGCAGGCGCCCTGGGCACGGGAGGCCGCTCCACCTATTGTGCTCTGGGCTTGAGAAGCCAGAGATTGAAAGAGGTGTGTGGTGCCAGGAAAGGGAGCCAGCCCTTCAGGCATATGTTTGATACGAGGGGAATGCCAGGTCAGCTCATCTGTAACGTCTAATTCTGTGTCCGAGTGGGGTAGGGCGGTCGGAAACGCTTAATAACAGGCTGGCGATTACTGCTTCTATGGGGAAGATCTAGGAGCGCTCCTGCCCCTATTAGATTAGGCCCTTTTTGCAGTCAGCATGTGTTTACACATCCCTGCTTCTCCAGGCTGCATAACTCTGTGTCTGTCCTACCTCCCAGTATGCTGCTCCCTGGGGTTTTAAGAGCTCTGCCGTAGCTCAGGTGCCTGGACACAGATTACTGGCAACGTGGCTCCCGGCAGGTTGGTTATCTTGCTCTCCTCCTCCAGCCTCAGTGCACTGGGGATGTGTTATCCTGGAGCTGCTGGGGGAAATCAGCCCAGACACCAAGTTCCCAAGGGTGAAACCCATGGCTGTCTTTGCGATGGTTTCTTTGTTTTTCTCCCCAAGGAAGTGTCTAGTTGCAGAGACTAGTATTTATTCACTGCCTTCCTTTACCCTTTTTTTCTACTCCCTCTAAATCTCCTTCCCACGTTAAAAGTGTTTTGTATTTCTGAATCTGGCACAGTAGTGGTTATCAGATGAAACATAAACCTCCCTCCCTTATTCAGTCAGAAGAAAGGGGGTGAAAATGACCTGATTTCAGCTTTTGCTGCAGGTGGTGAATGATCAATTCCAGTTATACTCTAGGACTCAATTTTGGTCACGAGAAAATAGTTGTGGTTTTGACTAACCAAGCCCAGCCCAGGAAGGTGATCAGCGTGATACACGGCAGGTGCTATGACAAAGTCAAGGGAGCTTATTTGTTCATATATACAGGGAATCCAAGATTACTATGACTGTAGGAATAAGATCAGTGGAGACTGAATTTCCTGGTCTTTGTTATAATAAAGCAAACGTCACGATTGTACGCTCGCTCCTCCTTTCAGCACCCCCCGTCGGGACAGCAGCCTCACAACAGGGTCTGTTTCATAGTGCCTTAAATCACCCACTGGGGTTGAAGAAGGCACTCTTGTGGCTGTTGTATGGCCAAGTCTTTTCTGGGGCAGGACTACATTTAAACCACCACAGAACGATGAGAAAACGTGGGGTATTTCATATACTTTTGGAGAAGAAAATAATATCTGTCCTAGTAGAGTAGAGTTTCTGCTCTGTAGCTTTGAAAAGAAATACCAAGGCATTGGTTGGATGCCTGTGGTTCTCTACTACAGCTTGACTTTTAGACATGGAGGACCCAACTTATTTGTTCACAGCACTCTTCCAGGACTCCAAGAGGGTCATCTTTATACTGTCATGGATTTGAGCAAATTATAGCTGTTTCTTTCCAGCCTCTTGCCTCCATATATGTGCATAGATTGTGATTCAAATTCTGAAGATAGTTCTTATCCACATACCTAAGCAGGGCAAGTTGTTTAGATGTTCTTGGTGTGCCTATTCTGTAATCAACCTTGTAGAAACAGAGAATGGCATGATTTTTCACTTTTGTAATTTGTAATACTGTAATTTTATTGTTAATGTTTGATGTTTTTTGGTCTTTGAACTTTTAAGTAATAAATTTTTTAAAAAGTAATTTAAAAAATGTTACCTGATTGATTTTGAAATTGTAGAAAAATAATACATAGCATTTGATTGTCACTTAAAATCGACTTGATGGCACCTGGTATGTGTGAGAGGAATTAAAGTTGTGTCATGTAATTTTCTTCAGTAGTAGTACATACTTTGATACATAATTCTAGTTAATAAAAGCCCAGTGTGAGTATTAAATATGTAACTATCATATCTTGCCCCATTTATTTATATTTAGTCCATAGGTTTGAGTTGAGTCAAAGAAGTTTATCTCAAGTTGCAGTTTACTTGGGATTAGAGTTCAGTTCTATTTTTAACTTGTAATCTACAATGAAGCACACATATATCAGATAACATTTTTAAATGTGGAAATCTCCAAATGTAATTGTTATAATGGGTTATTCTGTAAGATGAAAGACAATAATATAATTTTTATAGCTTTTGGTATTCTGCTTAATGTTTCTTGATAGACTTATTCCATGCAAGTGTCCTAGAGAAACAAATGGTCTCGGGTGAGAATTCTTTTTCTAATTTCACAGATATTAAGTATACTCTGCTAGGTGATGTATAGTACTGAGTTAATTATCACAGCAATCTTCTGAGATGTTATCATACTTATTTTGGAGATAAAACAACTATGAAATTCTTTATTTGTAATGCTCATAGTCATTTGGTCTGAGCCTAGGCATCAAAGTTGATTGGAGGTCTTTGTGACCTGTAGTATCATTTTTGGCTTTGTTTTCTTTATTCTAAAGGTATCTGTGGAAACCACAGGCCTTTGTGATAAGCTCCATTTCATAGGGTATTTTCTTATTTTAATAATCAATGTTATGACTTAAATCACACACCACAGCAGGAGGCATTCTTGTGGGTAATGTATCACCACTTGTTTTAAGGACATTAATGATAATTCAGCCAAATTCGGTTAATTTTTACTTTTATTTTTGTATAACTTGTGATTTTGTCCAAAATTAACAGCTGTTTATGTATTTTTCTTTCAGGAGTTGACACAAAGTTGAAGTTTACTCTTGAGCCATCTTTAGGTCAAAATGGCTTTCAGCAGGTAATTTTATTTTTGGTTTTGAACACACTTTCATTTTAAGGTATCTACAACATGCACTGAAATATATTTAATAATATACTTGTATATTATTACATATATACAAGTATATTATTAAATATATTACATATACTTGTCAGTTTTTTAAATGATTGGTAAAATAACTTATGAAATACCACGTTGCCTAGGTTTATAGTTACAATGAAAAATGTTGCACTTTCTTTTAATGGTCAATGTGGAGAACAAAATTCTAAAACCCCAGAGCCCAAATTTTTTTGGCTTGAATACCATGGTTTCCCAACTCGTGTATGTGCTGCGTGTGAGTCACAGGTGTGTTAAGGGTGCCTGAGGGCTAGGATTTGGGGTAGCCACTAGACCAATTCCATCTGGCCGAAAAAACTGACCATTTACCCCAGTGAACTATATGCATTTTGTACCATACTCTATGGGTGCAGAGATGGGAATAAGTTTGAAAAGTGCTTGTATAAGTCAGCATTATTACTTCCCCAGTATTTCTTCTTTGCTCCTAGTGGTATGATGCTCTCAAAGCAGTTGCCAGACTATCAACAGGAATACCAAAGGAATGGAGGAGAAAGGTAAGGAGGATTCCGAGGGCTAAAATACCAAAGGACCAACACTCTGTCTCTCTTAGAAGTTTCTGGAGTATAAAAAGGAAAATCTAGATTTAGTCATTTGAAATTTGTCTCTCTTCATTAGTCATTCAGTATTTATTGTCTATTCTATGCTAAATACTGTTGGTGTTCTTGGTTCTGAGGATCCAGTAGTAGAAAAAAATTAAAACAGGCAGAAGGTTTTATCTTTATGGAATTCGCAATGAATACAATATAAAGTATGTAAGGTAATGATAGGTTCTATTGCTAAAGAAAAAGCTGGGAAAGTGATAAGGAGAATGAGGCAGATTGGAGGTCGTTGTTGTGATTGTTAAGTGCTGTTGAGTTGCTTCTGACTCATAGCGACCCTGTATAGGGTTTCCAAGGAGTCTTTGGTGAGTTGATCCACTGACCTTGCAGTTCAAACTGACCTTTTAGTCCAGTGCTTATGCTATAGCACCACACAGGACTCCCAGATTGGAGGCAGGGAGTTCAAATTTAAAATCGGAAAGATAAGAGGAGACTTCACTGAAGAGCTGACATTTGAGTAAGTCTCTGAAGGAGGTGAAGGGCGAGCCATACAGGTATGTGGGGAAGTGCTTTGCAGAACGGGAACAGCCAAGGCAGAAGCCTAAGGTGGGAGCATCTCAGAAGGATTCAAGCAAAAGCAATAGGCCAGGGTGGTTGCAGCATGGTGAGCAAGGGAGAGCACTAAGAGACAGGGTTGTAGAGATACTGTGGTGCTTGGTGGTGGTGATGGCGGTGTGGGGGCACCTTGCAGGACATAGTAGGAGTTGAGCTTTTGCCCATTGTGAGATAGGACACACTGGAAAAGGTTAAGCAGAGGAGGGATATGACTTACATTTTAAATGAACTTCTTTGGCTACTGACTTGAGAATAGGCAGTAGAAGAACAAAGGCAGAAGCAGGAAAATCATTAGGACACTCGCAATAACTGAAACAAGTGGGATTAATAACTTGGATCAGGATGGAATGGATATGGAGAGAAGGCCTTAGTTTCAAGATCTATTTTAAAGGCTGAGCTGATTCAATTTCCTATAAGATTGAGTGAGAAGTTTAAGAAGAACTTCATGATGAGATTTTTGTCTGAGCAATGGAGAGGTAGAGGATCAATGTGTATGTAAATGTAGGTGTGTATGTATGTATAATTGGAAGAGCGTGGAGTACGAGATAGGTTTTAAGGTTGATATGCCTAGTAGGTATCTAAGTTGAAGGTGGCAAGTAGGCATTTGGACATAAGATTTTGATGCTTAGGAGAGAGGTCTGGCTGGAAACATTAATTAGTTATTCCTGCTAAACTCCATTCAAATACTAAACTTCACATGCTCTCTAGAATATTATTTGTGAACCTAATCTTAATACTCCTTAAATTTGAACATTAGGGAGTCCTCAAAATATACATTTAAAAAATGGCATTATGGAATCACTCTTTCTGAGACAGCTTTTCAGGATAAGGTAATCAAAGTGTGAAAATACCCAGTGATTTTTTTAAACTATCCATTGTGGGAGTCCATTTGCCAGTTTTTTGTGTGAGATAGTTGTTGTGTGCCAGCGGATCGAGTCCTACTCACTGTGACCCGATAGGACAAAGTAGAACTGCCCCGTAGGTTTCCTAGGTTGTCATCTCCATAGAAGCAGACTGCCACATCTTCTGCAGAATGGCTGGTGGGTTATAACTACACAACTTTTGGTTAGAAGCTGAGCTTCCTTCACCACTGTGCCATCTAAGGTCTGGTGGTTTAAGCACTGGGCTGCTAACCAAGAGACTGGCAGTTTGAACCCACCAGCTGCTCCACAGTGGCAGTCTGCTTCCATGAAGATGACAGCCTCGGAAACCCTATGGGACAGTTTTACTTGTCCTGTGTTGTTGCTGTTATGGGCCGTTGAGTTGGTTCCAACTCATAGTGACCCTGTGTAGGGTTTCGGAAAAGCGGCTGGTAGGTAAGCAGTTCAAACTGACCTTGTGATCCAGTGCATTATCCTGCTGTGCCACACCAGGACTCTATTCCTGTAGTGTCCCTAGAAGTCAGAATCAACTTGATGGCAACAAGTATGAGACAGGGATGATTTAAAAGCAGAAATCACTTCACAATGAAAAAGGTCATTCATGTTTGTGAATGACCTAGTGACTCTTACTCAGTTGTTCACAGAGAACAATTCAGAGCCAAGTGTAACAAAATTATAAGATAATAAAGCTAATTCAGTTCACTGAATTAACTAGAAAAATGTTTTCTTACCAGTATTCCTGGTGCCTGGATCACTGCTTGACTCATGGAAGCTCAACAAATATTTACTAAAAAATAAATGAAAGTCCATAAAAAGTTCAATTCAAGTACAATAAACATTTCCACAAGGCTCTTGTAGATTTTTATATCTGGTTTAGGCACAATAACTGTTTTCCAATAAAGAAAGGTGAAATTATGTCTACTCTAGCATTCTTTTTGTAATGTTTTAGGTTTGGCTGACCTTGGCTGATCATTATTTGCACAGTATAGCCATTGATTGGGACAAAACCATGCGCTTCACATTTAATGAAAGGAGTAACCCTGATGATGACTCCATGGGAATTCAGATAGTCAAGGTAAATACCCCTGATGTGGCCTGTTGACCTGAATTAGAAGGAAAACTCAAACAGCCAGATGTTTCCTGGATAGAGGATCAGTTGATCTCAGTCTTGGGTCTGGATGTCTAGTTTCTGCTCCCTCATTTCATTCATTTAAAACTTTTAGGCAGAATCTTGACTGTGTCTTGTCTTCCTAAATTTTAATGTTATCAATAAGAGGAAAGTATGAATGAATTAGATTTTATTCAGATTCAGTTTATTCTTCTTCAGATAATTGTTGTTGTTGTTATGTGCCGTGGAGTTGGTTCTGACTCATAGCAACCCTGTACAGTGTTTCCGAGGCTGTAAATATTTACAGGAGCAGAAAGTCTGATCTTTCTCCTGAGGAACAGCTGGCAGTTTTGAACTGCTGACCTTGCGGTTGGCAGCCCAATTTGTAACCACTACGCTACCAGAGATAAGGAGCTCTGGTAGCGTAGTGGTTACGACTTGGGCTGTGAACCGCAAGGTCAGCAGTTCGAAACTACCAGCTGCTCCGCGGGAGAAAGATGAGGCTTTCTACTCCCGTAAAGATTTACACCCTCGGAAACCCTGTACAGGGTCGCTATGAGTCGGTTCCGACTCCACGGCACATAACAACAACAACAACAACGCTACCAGAGATAATAGATTGAAATTCCTTTTTTTTTTTTCTTTAGCTTGGGACAGTTACAGCCAACTGGATTTTTACATAAAAGTCAGTGAGAAATGGAAAGTTAAATATATTTCATTTTAGAATAATTTAGATTTTGTTTGGTTCTTTGATGATTTCTTAGCTATCAGTTTATAAAGATAGGTTGACTGGCAGCTGTATTTCAAACCAGGTGGTTGAGGGTTCAGACCAGCTGTGGAAACAACTGTGCTTTACCTACTTGGATTATTACAGTTGATTAGAACCTGATGCTAAAAGCCAAGGACCCTGGTTCTGTTTGATGCCAGTATTATTCTCTTACATAAGCCTAATTTAGCACATGGCTTTTGCTTTATAAGAGCACATTAAACTGTGATGCTAAATAAGCAGAGGCTTTAAAAGGAAAGTTGTTTTTAATCCAAATTTTAGTGACCAGCGATTAGCTCCCTTTTGACCTACATTGATCTGTTTCAGACAAATGCTTAAAAAAATAATGCAATTTACTCTGTATAGTTGAAAAGCCTTTTCATCATCTACATTTCAGTTATTTTTTGAACTTCTATAAAGTTTCATAGAGATCTGAAGTATTTGAAATATTACTAGTGAATTAAGGCAACACACATTTTTATCATGAGCTTATTATTAAGAGGATCTTTTCTTCCCTCACTGAAGTGAGTGCTGGGTCAGTAAAATGACTTCAGCTCTTGAAAACCAGTCTTTGCTTGGTAACTAAATTATAGATGCTGCCTTCTTTAAATATGAAAATGCGCCAACATTCTCTGCTCCTTATACAAATTTACAAAACAATATGGAAAGACTGGTTTTTCAGTCTTGAGCTCTAGGATACAGACTGCAGGTTTTGCTATTTTGATTTTTTTTGTTAATACTTTTTGGAGTTTTAATAGCTAAATACTGTATGTTGTAGAAAGGAATAATGCTAGCATCAGTCATACATATGTTTTATCTGAAGCATAATACTAGAATAAACTTTCAGTTTATATGAAAGTATAATGTGATTCTGCTTAATTCTGAGTCATATTTTGTGTTGAATTCTGGAAACACTGTGTAGAAAATTTGTCTGCCTGAAATTTCCCTTGTAAATACCATGTACATGTCATATTTGAATTCATTAAAAAAGAAAGAAAGGAAGAAAGCTTTGAACTATTTTGGCACATGCATATAAGCACATACACATTTAAAAAAAAATTAAAACCCATGTTGGCAATTTGACTCTACTTAACGGGGAGGCAAAGAAATAACTAATGGTATTTTGGCGGTGGTAGGGAAATATAAGAGTCCTTTTAAAAAATATTAAATTGCTTTCCTCCCACTTTAGGATCTACACCGTACGGGCTGTAGTTCTTACTGTGGCCAGGAGGCTGAACAAGACAGAGTTGTGTTGAAGAGGGTCCTTCTGGCCTATGCCCGGTGGAACAAAAATGTTGGGTACTGCCAAGGCTTTAACATCCTGGCTGCACTAATTCTGGAGGTGATGGAAGGCAATGAAGGAGATGCACTGAAAGTGAGTATCAGGCTCTGAAGAAGGCTGCCTTACCAAGAGTGGAGAATTGCAACGATAATTTCCTTTATGCCCTACCCTTTCCACAGTTTCCACGGTGTTTGCCATGCTTTTGCAGTTACCCTTGGTCTTATTTCCCCCAGGTGAAGGAGAAGCCAAATGAAAAGCTGCCAAATGTGAGGAGAATGATTATGTTTTTAGTCTCTCTTATAAGACATGTTTTTAAAGCAAAGTAAATACCAACTATAATAGTTACCCATTGATGTGTTACAAGTTAGCTGTTCAAAAGAGCAAAACTTTATTATTTCAGTTTGAGGCAGGAATCTGAGCACAGCTAAGCTGGGTACCTCTGGCTTAAAGTCCCTTGTTGTTAAGTGCTGTCGAGTCGGTTCTGACCCATAGCAACCCTGTATAGGGTTTCTGAAGAGTGGCTGGTGAGCTTGAACTGCTGACCTTGTGGTTCAAACCAGTTTTGCAGTCCAGCACCTTAAACCACAGTGCCACACCGGGACTTCAGAGACCCTTCATGGTGGTGAGAGTGTGTCATGGAGTCAATTCCGACTCATAGCTATCCGGTATAGGGTTTCCAAGGCTGTAAATCTTCACAGGAACAGAAAGTCTCATCTTTCTCTTGTGGAATGGCTGGTAGTTTCGAACTGCTTACCTTGAGGATAACAGCACGACTTGTAAGCACTGTGCTACCAGAGCTCCTTCAGAGTCCCTTAAGAGGATGCATTTAAATGATTGGCCAGGGCTGCAGTTGTATCTAAAAACTTAATCGGAGGGATCATTTGCTTTCAAGTGTATTCATGTGGTTGTTGGCAAGATTCAGTTCCTTGAAGGCTCTTGGACTTAGAGCCTCCATTCCTTGCTGGCTGTTGGCTGGAGGCCTCCATTAGTTTCTTGCCACTTGATCCATTTTATCTCACAACAGCGTGACTTGCTTCCCTTAGAGTGAGCAAGAGAGTTTGAGAGAACAAGGCAGAAGAGAATAAGTTACAGATTTTTAATTCAATATTGGAAGTGAGTGTCCAACATTTTGCTGGAGTCCTGGTGTGGTGCTGTGGGCTAATGCACTGGATTGTAGGTTGGTTTGAACTGCAAGGTTGGCAGTTCAAATTCACTAGCCATTCCTCAGAAACCCTATACAAGGTCACTGTGAGTCATAACCAACTTGAAGGCACTTAACAACAACATTCTTTAGAAGCTAGACACTATGTCCAGTTTATAGTCAAGGGACTATCCTCAGTGACTGCCAGGTGAGAGGGAGGGATGGGGGACTCAAAGACTGCCATCATACCAGTCATGATAATTCTGGGTCAGGAGATCCAGGAGGAGGTGGATTTACAGGGAATATTTATGATGGAAGATATTTTCATGGAGAAATGTTACAGTGGTGAATTAGACTGAGATCATCTTCTAATCTTTGAAGTCTTGTGGTTGTCAAGTGCTTTGGAGTTGCTTCTGACTCATAGCGACCCTCTGTAGGGTTTCTGAGGAGCTGCTGGTGGGTTTGAACAGCTGACCTTGCGATTAGCAATCCAGTACTTATCCTACAATGCCGCACCAGGGCTCCTTTGAAGTCTAGGACCTTTATTATTAAAATAAAAAAATATCTGGAAACACTCGGAAATGGAACATTAGCAATTTAAGCTTATAGGTCTGAATGTGAGTCAGTGAATCACCAGAAGTGTAGTCTTTGTAAGAACGGAAGTATTTTAAATGTGGAAGATGTCTACTGCCTTGTTTGCTTAGGGCACTGCGAGATTACTCATTCATATTTGAACCTTTGAACTGTAGTTGATTGTAGTGCTTTATGATATATGAAATGAATACTTAGTCTTTGTATTTGAGCAGAGGTGGAAGGAATTGCTCTGTTTGAACATGGTGAATACCCTAGTGATATTCTCAATCGCTAACGAATGTGATATGGAAAAATAAACAAATGTTCCTCCTGGTTTCATAGACATTATGGTGGAATTAATTATAATTCCATTCTAACATGTTTTATATTTGGATTATTCCTTTTTCTTTTTCTAGCCCTGTATTTAAGGAAACATTTTGAAGATATTTGTTCATCAAATGGAAAAAAAAAAAAAAAAAGAAATAACAAATGAAATATGAATTTAAAATATTTTCTACTAAGAAACAATTTGGTTTACTCTGTCAGATTTAGTCATTTACTTTCTAGCAGATGTAATATATGACTCTGAAACGGGAACTTTTGAAAATTTAGGATAAGAGCTTATGATTAAGTGCTGAGGAGACAGGGTGAGGTTTGGGGAAGGAAAGATATATGTTAATCAAGTCATGAGAGGACTCCTTGAAAAACTAGGAATTCACATAAAATCATGGATTAGATAAACCAAAGAAATAAAATATTTATATTTCTGCCCATGAAAAACTGACCCCCGTAGGATGAGAAGCCATCATCATTATTAAGGAACATGTAGATCTTCATCATAAAACATTTAATATGCAGGGGACAGATGGGTTTATGAAGAAACACTTCTCATACAAAGGAAAAAATTGGGTGTCAGTGTTTTTCCAGCAGTTATTTTGGCTTCTCAAAATGAGGAGAAGCAGCTCTTAAACATCCATTAATATTCGGAACATGGAATGTATGGAGTATGAGTCTAGGAAAATTGGGAGGTGGAAAAATGAAATGGAGTGCATAAACATCAATATCCTAGGCATTAGTGAGCTGAAATGGACTGGTATTGGCCATTTTCAATCAGGCACTTATGATTTACTATGCCAAGAATGGCATCACATTCATCATCAAAAAGAACATTTTAACATCTGTCTTGAAGTATAATGCTGTTTGTGATCGGATAATCTCAGTATGCCTACAAGGAAGATGAATTAATAATATTCAAATTAACTCACCAACTACTAAAGCCAGTGATGATGAAATAGAAGAATTTTACCAACTTCTTCAGTCTGAAATTGATCAAACATGTAATTGAGATGTATTGATAATTACTGGAGATTGGGATGCAAAAGTTGGAAACAAAGAGGAAGGATCAGTAGTTGGAAAATAAGGCCTTGGTGATAAAAACAGTGTTAGAGATCGCATGATACAATTTCATAAGCCAAAGACATATTCATTACAAATACTTTTTTTTTTTTTTTCAACAACATGAAAGACAACTATACACATGTGCCTCACCAGATGGACTACACAGAAATCAAATTAAGCTACATCTGTAGAAAGAGATAGTGGAGAATCTTCATTATCATCTACCAAAAGAAGGTCAGGGGCAGATTGTGAAACAGTCCATCAGTTGCTCATATTCAAGTTCAGGCTAAAGCTGAAAAAATTAAAACAAGTCCACAGGAGCCAATATATGACCTTGAACATATCCCACCTGAATGTAGAGATCATCTGAAGAACAGATTTGATGCATTAGACACTAAAGACCGAAGAACAGAAGAGTTGTGGGATGACATTAAGAGCATTATACAGGAAGAAAGCAAAAGGTTATTAAGAGGACAAGAAAGAAGGAAACGACCAAATGGATGCCAGAACAGACTCTGAAACTTGCTCTCCAGTGTAGAGATGCTAAAGAAAATGGAAATAGAAGAAGTGAAGAGGTAGAAGAGCTGAACTTTAAATTTCAAAGGGCAGCTCCACAAGACAAAGTCAAATATCATAATGAAATGTGCAAAGACATGGAGTTAGAAAACCAAAGGGAAGGAAACACTCAGCATTTATCAGTGTGAAAGAACTGAAGAAAAAACTCAAACCTAGATTTGCAATACTTAAAGATTCTTTGGGCAAAATAGATTCTATGGGCAAAATGGACTCCTGATGTGGTGCTGTAGCACAGGAGTGTGAACCATAAGGTCTGCAGTTCAAACCCAGTAGCTGCTCCTTGGAAATCCTGTACAGGGTTGCTGTGAGTCAGAATCTACTCAGCAGCATTTAGCAACTTGGGCAAAATATTGAATGATGCAGAAAAACATCGAAAGAAGATGGAAGGAGAAATACAGAGTCACTGTACCAAAAAGAAATGGTTGATATTCAGCCATTTCAAGAGGTAGCATATGATCAAGAGTCAGTGGAAGGAAAAAAGTCCCTGAAGGAAGAAGTCCAAGGTGCACTGAAGGTGTTGTTGGCAAAGAACAAGACTCTGGGAATTGATGGAATGCAAGTTGAAGTCTTTCAACAAATTGATAGAGCACTTGCCAAGAAATTTGGCCAACTGACTAGAAGAGTTCCATATCTGTGCCCATTCCAAAGAGGGGTGATCCAACAGAATGCAGAGATGATCAAACAATATCATTCATGTTACATGCCAGTAAAATTTTGCCAGGATGATCAGCGTCACACAATGTGTGAAGCAGATATGTGAACACTTGAGCTCACTACAGCAACAACAGAAAAATTTCCATGCATGTGGGGAGTTCAAACCCTTGTAGTTCAGGCGTCAGCTGTACTTTTCTTATTGCTGAGTTTCTTCTCTGAGGTGATGATACCTTATCGAGTAAACTCTATCTTGACAAGACTGAAGAGACTCCCTGGTTCTGCTCACCCCTGTAATAAAAGCCTTTGGTGTGGCACTGTGGGTTAATGTGCTTAACTGCAAAGTCACTTTGAAACGCAAAGTCTGTGGTTCAAGCTCACCAGCTGCTTCTCGGATACCCTATACTGGGTCGCTGTATGTCGGAACTAACTTGACGGCACTTAAGTAACAACAGGTCTTCAGAGCCCTTGTGTGATGCTGTAGGATAAGCACAGAACTAGTAGCCACAAGGTCGATAGTTCAAACCTACCAGCTACTTTTGGAGCCTACACAACAACCACAAGTTTGGCTTTCTGATACATATGTCCCAAATGGTCAACATTACAGGCTAGGGATGAGAAGAAAATGATCTCTTGGTAAAGCTGGTAGGGAATTTTTTTTTCTAGACAATGGGAGTTTTGCACTATCTTGAAAATCAAAATGTGAGACTACTTCCATGCCAAACATGTAGGGCAGGCTGTGATTTTGTTTTTCATTTTGTTTTAGATGTACCCCAGGGGATGAGTTGATCTTTTAGTGGGTTTGTAACTTTTTAGTGAGCATACAAGCTGACAGAAAAAGAACCAGATATACAGAACTCACATGTGTTTTGGAGAGTCATACTGGTGCCTTTTGACATTCTGGATGGTAACACAAACAGAAAGAATGAAACTAATCTGAGGAAGTTATGTAGTTGTGTTGACAAGTTGTGTTAACGTATGTTGACAGTCTTATGAAAGTTACCCAGATTTAAAAATGGCTTAAAAAGCATCAGTTCAAAGAAAATCTGTTGTAATATCCTAAGAGAGGGAAGTAATCTGTAATAATCCAGGTTAATGGTAAGTGAATCTCAGCCCTTGGTTTTCATGTGAACATTGTAAAATTGTGCTGTCTTTCAAGAAGCCAGAATGGAGACTCCTGCTGGCTAATACTCTGTCATCCGTCTGAGTGTGGCTGAGGGTTGTATAATCACAACTACATAAGGGGTAAGCTTAGGTCTAGCAGCCCATCTAGCAATTTCAGACAACAGCAGACTTTGGATATGAGTTACTTTAGACTGCCTGCCACTCATTGGGGGTTATAGATGATCCTAAAAATCCAGAACATTTGGTACCGACACATTTACAGAATGTTGTGGTTTGGCTAACCACTCTTTGTCAACTGAGATGTGTTCTTTCTGTTATTCGGATCCTGGTAGGTAGTACTGACACAATGTTCTTTATCTTTTTCTTCAGATTATGATTTACCTGATTGATAAAGTACTTCCTGAAAGCTATTTTGTCAATAATCTCCGGGCGTTGTCTGTGGATATGGCTGTCTTCAGAGACCTCTTGAGAATGAATCTCCCTGAATTATCACAACACTTGGACACTCTTCAGAGAACTGCAAACAAAGAAAGTGGAGGTAGTGATCCAGTGTTGCTCTATGCTTTGAAAAGATTTCACACTATTCATTTCCACTGTGCAGGTGCCTGAAGCTTGGCTGGAAATGCATTTTCCAGTTATTTCTGTTGATGAACATTTTACACAATGAAAATAGATTTCTATAAAGAGAAGCACAACAAAACTGGAGAAAAACAAAACAAACCCAGGACCACATGCTAACCTCATGGTCATAGTTAGGAAGTTAGTTGAAAGCCTAATACTTTAACTGTACCAGATCAGCAACTAAAATGCTATACTGCATTCTAGATACAGAAGGGCGTACAGTTCCGCAGAAGAAAGATGAGGCTTTCTGCTCCTGTAAAGATTTACAGGCTCAGAAACCCTGTACAGGGTCGCATAACCACCACCACCACCACCAGCTAGTTAAATTTTGCTAATCTGGCACCAAATCCACACTAGTTCTTGAAAACGGAGCCATAGATACAATTGAGTACAAACCATGACTTTGCCTGAACCATTGAGGTTATGGGGGAGTGGCAATTTCATAAAATTGTAGGAGATAAAAGCAGCCCTGTGGATTGAACTGTTTTACTATTCCTTTTATTTATTCATGTTTTGGGCATTAAGATTTAACTGAGGTGAATCAGCCTGTTCTTGCTGGTGAGAGGCTCTTCTTGACCTCAGCAAGGTAGAATCTGAACCACTGAAGGCAGACCCTTGAATGAGGCCGTAATGGGGATTGTTCCGCAAACAGCTTTGTCTTGTGGGCATCGTGCAGTTTTCAGGAGAACAACTTGAGTTATTCACTGTAATTGCACCGATTGCATTTTCTAGACTGTGCTCAGGATGCCAGAGAAGCAGTTAGAACTTTGTGTTTCCAGTAAATGGTTACCAGTTCCTGTTTTAGGCTATGTATTCATAGTCTTGTCTGTCCCCCATATTTGGGAAAATATTAAAAGAGTGTGGTGCTGTAGTATAATGCACTAGACTGTATGGTCAGTTTGAACCTTAAGATCGGCTATTCAAACCCACTAGCCACTCCTCAAAAACCCTATACGGCGTTGCTATGGATTGGAACCAACCTTTCAGCGCTTAACAACAACAACAACAACAACAACAATTTGTAATTAAAATACATAGAAGATTGAGTAACACTTAGTGTCTCTAAGTGCATGATGGATTTGTAGGATGAGCAATGGACTGTGAACCACAGGGTCTGCAGTGCTAGCCCCCCCAGCCTTTCTTCAGGAGAAAGATGAGGCTTTCTGCTCCCGCAAACATTTACAGCCTCGGAAACCCCTATAAAGGGTTGCTGTGAGTTGAAACAGAGTCGATGGCACTTAACAACAATAATATCTCTTTAAGTATTTCCTTATGTTATGGATTGAATTGTGTCCACACCCCACACCCGCCTGCCCCCCGCAAAATATGAGGGAGCTTCAAACTGCTCATGATAAAATGTAATAGAAAGGTAATGGAATTTTTCCATGAACTTCTTGTGTGTTAACGTGATTTTCAGTATTACATAATTAGCCTCCATTTTGTGATATGATGTTACTATCCCACTATCCTCATCTCTGTTTTTGGGTTTTGGTTATGCTAATGAGGCAGGATGACATCTACAGGATTGGGCTGTATCTTGAGCTGGTTTCTTTTGTGACACACAAAGGAGTTGACAGGCAAGTGGAAATCAGAGGAGCTTAACTACCACCAAGAGAGAACAAATAGAAGCAGAGCACAGTCTTTGCACCTGAGGTCCCTGGGTTGTAAAACTTCCAGACTCAAGAGAAGATTGATGCCAAGACACATGTAGATCTCCAAAAGACTAAGCCTACAGATATTGAAGGGAGACCAGGATTTTCCTCCAGACCTGACACAGAGAGAAAGTGTTCCCCCTAGAGCTGGCTCTGAATTTGAACTAAATTATAACCTCCTAAAATGTGAGTCCTGGTGTGGTGCTGTGGGCTAATGTGTCTGCTGCAAAGTCGTTTGAACTGCAAAGTCGGTGGTTCAAGCTCACCAGCTGCTCCTTGGAAACCCTATGCAGGGTCTCTATGGGTTGGAATCGACTCAACGGCACTTAGCAACAACAACAAACAGTGAGAGGAGTCCTGGTGTGGCACTCTGGGACAACACAGTGGACCACAAGGTCAGTTTGAGCCACGTGGTCGGTGGTTCAAACTCACCAGCCACTCCTTGGAAAACCTATACAGGGTTGCTGTGAGTCAGAACTGACTTGACGGCACTTAACACCAACAACAGCAACAACAACAAACTGAGAGACTAGATTTTGTTTGTTAAAGACATCCACTTGTCGTGTTTCTGTGATCTGTGATAGCACCTTCTGTCTTTGTGCTGCTATAACACAAAATCCCACTAGAACGTGGCTTTAAAGAGCAGGAATTTATGTTCTCTAAATTCTGGAGGCTAGATGTCCAGATTAGGGTTTTAATCATATTCCTTCTTTCCTTGTCATTAGTCCCTGACATTTCATGGTTCCTTGGCATGTCGGTAATCCTCATGCAGTGTCTGTCTTCCACTGTGTATCTTTCTGACTCACAGTGACCCCCGCAGGACAAAGTAGAATTGCTCCATAGGATTTCCCAAATGGTAAATCTTTATGGGAGCAAACAGCCTCATCTTTCTTCAGTGGGTTTGAATCACCAACTTTGGTGTTAGCTAGCCCAGTGCTTACCTCACTATACCACCAGGGCTCCTTTTTTGTGTCTGTGCTGTTCTTCTTGTAACACAGAAGTGAGTAGGTTTAGGATTCATCCTACACTGCTAAGATCTCAACACATGGATTAATTCTGTTACAGTAGATGCATTGTGACAGGTGATTCCAGTGCATTGATGAGATTACATCTGCAGGGGTAGGAGTTATGATTCCAGCATGATTCGGTTCATGTCACTTCCTAAGCCATTTGATTAGTAATCCTCTAATTTATTTGACTGAGCCATATATACTTGCCAGTCCTTTGTGTTGTTTTCAAACAGACCAAGCTTTGCTGATCCTATCGTTAAAGACGCTTGCTTGGGCTAAATGTTGCATGTTCCCTCCATCTCTCAATCCCTTTATACTCTGCCCTGCACTTGGCTGCAACAAAAGACTTCAGACTCTACACTCTGAACAAAGATACTCCCATTGTTCATAGATGAGGGAGAAGAAAATGACTGCAGAGGAGCTGGCCTCATTTTCCTTACACTTGAGTAAATGAATGTATTGACTAATTTGGAGGGGAAATCAAATTAAATATTGAAATTTTTTTAAAAGCTGAGGTTTTTATCTCATTAGAGCACATACTTATGCTATTCTAGGAAATGGAAGGGGGAAATGTTTTTTAATGAATTCAGAAACTTCAAAAGTGGTCTGTATTCCAGATCTTTAAAACTGTGTATAATTTAAATAGACAAGCAGTTTATAATGTTTATGTTTATAATACTTATATCAGTTGAATCTATTCAAAGTGGGGTTTATAAGATGTTGAGAATCGGATGCTCTTGCCTTTAAGAGGAGTCCCTGGTTGGTGCAGATAGTTTAGGGCTCAGCTACAGTTGGAAGTTCAAGTCTACCCAGAGGCTCCTTAGAAAATCGGTTTGGCGATCTATTTCTCAAAGATTGTTGTTGATGTTGTTTAGTGCTGTTGAGTTGATTCCGACCCATAGCGACCCTGTATAGGGTTTCCAAGGAGCAGCTGGTGAATTTGAACCACTGACCTTGCAGTTCAAACGACTTTGCAGTTTGACGCATTAACCCACAGCATCACACCAGGACTCATTACAGCCATTGAAAACTTTATGGAGTACAGTTCTACTTTGACATACATGTATACATATATATGTGTATTATATACATGCACACACACGCATATATGGAGTCTTGGTGTGGTGTTGTAGGATAAGCACTGGACTGCCAACCATAAGGTTGATTGTTCAAACCCTGCATCCGTTCCTTAGAAACCCTATACTGGGTCCCTATGAGTCAGATCTGACTAACAGCAAACCTTTATTAGGGTACTTAAGTATATGAATCTTTGTAGGAACAGAAAACTTCTTTCTCGCGTGAAGCAGCTGATGGGCTCGAGCCACCAGCCTTGTGATTTGCAATCCATTGCTTATCCTATAGAGCCACCAGGCTCCCAGATGTGCATTTTTTTGCTCCCCCTTTTGAGCAAATCCTTTATATAAAAATTGTATCATTTGTGAAGAAAACATTCTCCTTAATTTCTAGCATCCCACAATAGATAAGAGTTAAAGTAAGCTTTAGGTTAAAGTTTCTTAAATAACTTAAAAAGTCTGTGAGGTTCTTATTACATTTTAAAAAATGTCTACAGAAGAGGGAAGGATAAAGAAGGAAAAAACCACGTTTTGGGCATGTGAAGAAATCAGTAGCAAATGTAACTTTTTTTTTTTGGTGGTCGTGGAAGACTGAAAGAGGCTATGTGTCCACCTTACACATGATCACTTCTAAAGGAATTCAGTGTGTTTGCTTTCTTTCAGGTGGATATGAGCCCCCACTTACAAATGTCTTCACCATGCAGTGGTTCCTGACTCTTTTTGCCACATGCCTCCCTAATCACACAGTCTTAAAGATCTGGGATTCAGTCTTCTTCGAAGGTTCAGAAATCATCCTAAGGGTGTCGCTGGCTATCTGGGCAAAACTGGGAGAGTAAGTGATTTTCTTCTTCCATTCATTTCTTCATTGTTGAGGGCTTTAACCAGTTTGTGTTCTCTAACTAGTAAATCATCAATACTCATAATTAAGTGTGAGGAAGAGAGAAAGTTGTGAACCTTGCTCAATTACTCTAGAGTTCTGAAATCTCACCAGGTGCACTCTTGATTGATTTGGGGGCAGATGGAATCTATTTTGGCGGGAAGAGGGAAGGAGTATTTTGCGGGTAGTTTCTCCTTGTCCTCAGTAAAAGGAGTTTTACAGGAGTGACTGGTTGATTCTTTATTTACTTTCAATTTTTTAAACTTTTTATTGTGAATGCAGTGAAGGTTTACAGACAGGATCATCAGTTTTACATCCAACAAATCATACACTTTATTTCATCTCAATGCTTGCAATCCCCTCCCTACAACAGTTACCCTGCTTTCTCCCTATGCTTCCTGTTTCCATTCCACCCGCCTTCCCATCCCTTCTCAGCTTTATCCTTAGGTAAATGTCCTTTGATTTTGATTGATTGTTCCAAAGTGAACATAT